TGGGTGACAGAGCCAGACACACCCCAACACGCAACACCCTACACACCAGACAAGACAAAGGTGCCCCGTGTAGCCTCAACACAGACTGTTGGGGCAAGTGCTGTTAGGGAGCACCTATGAAGGCCGGCACGGCACACGATGGTGTGGCCAGAACCACGCCCGGCCGCCTTTGTCTCCCCCAGTGGCGATGTTTACTACAATTCCGTACCAGGTACTCATTTCAGGCTGAGTCGACCTAGGGGAGAGGCCCAGGACCGGTTCAGATAATCGTCACCGGGTGTTGGCCGTGAGCTGGAATCAAACTCTGGTCGCCGGGTTCGTAGAGCAGCGTAGCGCTAAGGCTGATCGATTAATCGATTTAAAATCGAAATCGCAAATTTCAAACAATGCGATTAGCAAGTCGCCAAGGCTGCGATTTTTTGCGATTTTAAAAGTCCGCTTACTTTCTTACAGGAATTGTTTTATTTTGTATTATTATAACTTTATTTAATCTTGATTTCTTTATTTGAGTTAATGTATTGTTCTATGTTTGATTGTTCTACTTCAGTTAAAACTATTTTAATAAATACATGTTGGAAGCAATTCATATCCTTTAAGTTCTCATCTCTGCATGAGAATATATAGAGCAGTTCATATTGTGATGGTATCACGTGGTAACGCTCCATCACGTGTTTTACATCGATTACACAATGCATATTGAAATTGAAGCTTGTATTACAAACAAACAAAATCGCAAATCAAATCACAATATCTGTCAGAAAAATCGCAATTAGACATTCCCCCCCCCCCCCAAATCGTTCAGCCCTAGCGCTAACCGCTCCACCACCGCTCCCCACACACCGCAACGATACAACACAGCGGTGACACGTGCACACAGCGGTGACACGTGCCCACAGCGGTGACACGTGCACACAGCGGTGACACGTGCACACGAGATTACACGGCTGGCATTCGCAGAGCTTGTACCAGGCTTGGTGCACTTTGATGCCATCGGCAGGAGGTCCAACCGACTAGAATGACTTGAAACACGTAACACCCTCGCTTACACAATCATACACCGCTGGCCACGTACGGTGCGAAAGAAGTTCATCAAACACACATCAGTACACTGTACATACGTACACCAGCATACACACGAGCAAAGCACCCCAGCTAACAAAGATCCCCCGTATAGCCTTAACAGACTGTAGGGGCAAGTGCTGTTAGCGAGCACCTATGAAGGCCGGATCGGTACACGAGGGGGTGGGTGGCCAGCACCACGCCCGACCGCCTTTGTCGCCCTAGTGGTGATGTTTACACACCGCACCAGGTACTCATTTGAGGCTGTGTCGACCTAGGGGAGGCCCGGGACCGGTTCAGATAATCGTCACTGGTGTTGGCCATGAGCGGGAATCGAACCCGGGTGGACAGGTTCACAGCGCAGCGTAGCGCTAACCGCTACACTATCGCTCCCCCTAACCCCAGCTAACACACACAAACACACGCATCAGCTCACACACTTTCACACCAACGATACCAAACCCACACGCACCAAGACACGCCACACACTTGACACACAGACACACACAAAATCTCACTGAACCCATTAAGAATTCTGGGAGACTCAACCTTGAACCACCCTGTAGTGCCCCCCCCCCTAAACACACACCCCCCTCGTTAGCCAAGCAGCGCTGCCTCTCTGCGCACGTGGGCCCCGTCGCCCAGCGCTGGTGGATGCGACGTTCAGTTGGCAGCGCGAAAATGTTGCTCAATGGGAATTGGAGGTGCCAGCATTATCCCCGTCCCAGGGGGCTTTGCCGGCAGAATGTGGCAACCAGCAGCAGCAGCAGAAAAGGTGTAGACTTGACAAACATCTGTCCACGCTATCTTCTGTGTAGGATAGAGCGTTTCCCCCCCCCCCCCCTTTCTCTTCCCTGCGTGCCTTATAAATACACACTTTACCATTGCGCTGAAAACATCTTAATGCGTGTGCATAGAGAGAGAACTGCAGAGCAATTGCCGATGCCGCCGGTTCAGCACTTGGCAGAATTCCGGCGATCGTGAGACGCAATTTGCGTGAACGACGTTGTACGAGTCACATTGGTTGCCGTCATTCGTTCCACGCCCACAAGACCGCCCACTGCTCAGGTAGCCCCGCCCACCACTGTTGTCGCAGCACCGCCCACTGCTCCGTTGGCCCGCCCACCGCTCCAATAGCTCTCCCGTCCATTGCTCAATATCTAGTAGCCCCGCCCATTGTCGCAATAACCCCGCCCACTGTCGCGATAACCCCCGCCCACTGACGCGTTAACCCCGCCCACTGCCCACGACATAAGTTGTGAGAGGAGGGCTCGGGAAATTTTTGTTTGGGAACAAAATCCAGATTTCCCCCCCCCCCCCCCCCGCAAAAGCTTTTGAGTCAAAGAGGAAGGCGGAGAGAGATGATGACGATGACGACGATGTTCATGGGACATCTTCACTGCCTGGCCAAGAGTGGTAACTCCAAGACTCTGTCCCGGAAACAGCTTTGTTGTATCACACGCAGCTACTTTGGACAAGTCCTCGGTGTGGGACAAACTCTCTTCTTTGTAATAACTGCGGACGGACAAGAGCCCCGTGGCGTATGGGAGAGTCGTCCATCTCTCGGCCAAACCCTCGAGATGGAGCAATGCTCTAAACGGAACTTTGGGACACGGGGACTGACTTCCTGAAACCCACCAGGACTGAATCGAGATCTGAAAGTTTCTGCCCACTACAGCAATTTGCTTCTTGCTGTGGCTGTTGTTCCACCTGATGACGGACGCTTGTGTTGCTTCCGGTAACGTCGTGATTTCATGTATTTTATTTTATACCTACGTATAAAAGAACCAAAGAGTATGGACCACCAGGACTGCTCTGGTCAAACCAGGATGGCTCATAGGCTTCAGACAACACAACAAAGACAGATCACAAAACTAAGACAGATCCACCCCCCCCCCCCCATATAGCCTCAACAGGCTGTTGTTGATGGGGCAGATGCTGCGTGCAAGCACCTATGAAGGCCGGAAACCACGTCCGGCCGCCTTTGTCTCCCCAGTGGCGATGTTTACACACAGCACCAGGCACTCATTTGAGGCTGAGTCGACCTTGGGGAGGCCAAGCATCGGTTCGGATAATAATCATCACCGGTGTTGGCCGTGAGCGGAAATCGAACTGGGATCGCCAGGCTCACAGCGTAGCGCTAACCGCTGCACTACCGCTCCACATAAGGACGCAAAAGACAAAGATCCCCCTTGTAGCCTTAACAGACTGTTGGGGCAAGTGCTGTTAGCGAGCAGCACCTATGGAGGATACAACACACATCAGCACACACCGAATATGATGGAACACCCATGAACACCAGGACACACACACACACATCACGCTGAGTGTGTGTGTGTATCCATCACAATGGCAATGCCATCTTGGGCTCAACCCTAAAAGGAAACTGACCGTCAGGCCACGGCGATTTACGATGATGACGATGGTGACGACGACAACGAAGGGCATCACGACCGTAGTCAGTACATGACGAAGCACAGTACAACGTGGGGTGTAGTACTCAAGTGGGAAGCACACAGCTGCCAACCCATCACGGTTCACCCCGTATTCCTGTACGGGCAAATCGAGTTTTCAGGTCTATATGGCGGACAGCCGTTTAAATACGGGCAACAAAAATAAGTGTTTGTCTATTTCTTTGTGTTTCTCCCTTGTGGTGATGGGACTTTGTAGGATGAGCGTTGAGATTTATAAGGGCACGGGGTGACCAATAGGGTCTGGATTGGTCTGTAGTAAGGGTGGGGGGGGCACTGACAAAGGATTGACGGGTATGGAAGCAGTAAGGGTGAGGACATCCCAGTTCACAGCACATGGGCGACACACAGTACGCACCACAGTACACAATGGTGGTGCATCACACAGTACGCACCACAGTACACAATGGTGGTGCATCACACAGAACGCACCACAGTACACAATGGTGGTGCATCACACAGTACGCACCACAGTACACAATGCTGGTGCATCACACAGAACACACCACAGTACACAATGGTGGTGCATCACACAGTACGCACCACAGTACACAATGGTGGTGCATCACACAGTACACACCACAGTACACAATGGTGGTGCATCACACAGAACACACCACAGTACACAATGGTGGTGCATCACACAGTACACACCACAGTACACAATGGTGGTGCATCACACAGAACACACCACAGTACACAATGGTGGTGCATCACACAGTACACACCACAGTAGACAATGGTGGTGCATCACACAGTACGCACCACAGTACACAATGGTGGTGCATCACACAGTACGCACCACAGTACACAATGCTGGTGCATCACACAGAACACACCACAGTACACAATGGTGGTGCATCACACAGAACACACCACAGTAAACAATGGTGGTGCGTCACACAGTTCAGAACACACACCACAGTACACAATGGTGGTGCATCACACAGTACACAATGGTGGTACATCACACAGTACACACACATATCACAGTACACAATGGTGGTGCATCACACAGTACACACACCACAGTACACAATGGTGGTGCATCACACAGTACACACACCGCAGTACACAATGGTGGTGCATCACACAGTACATACCACAGTACACAATGGTGGTGCGTCACACAGTACACACTGGTGGTGCATCACACAGTACATCACACAGTACATCACACATCACACAGTACACACGACAGTACACACTGGTGGTGCATCACACAGTACACACTGGTGGTGCATCACACAGTACATCACACAGTACATCACACATCACACAGTACACACACGACAGTACACACTGTTGGTGCATCACACAGTACATCACACAGTACATCACACAGTACATCACACATCACACAGTACACACACGACAGTACACACTGGTGGTGCATCACACAGTACATCACACAGTACATCACACAGTACACACACGACAGTACACACTGTGGTGGCCGTGGTCTCGTACCGTTATTTCGCCTGGGGTTGGACTGTTTCCTGCGCTTGCACCTGGGCCCGTCAGCCATGGCGTGGTCACACTTGAGGCTTACATCTGGCGGACATGGGGCGAGTGGGTGTGCATGTCAACACGGGGGTGTGCAGGTGTGTGTCTGTGTGTGATGTGCAGGGGTGTGTGTGATGTGCAGGTGTGTGTCTGTAATGTGCAGGTGTGTGTCTGTGGTGTGCAGGTGTGTGTGTGATGTGCAGGTGTGTGTATGTGTGATGTGCAGGTGTGTGTCTGTGCAGGTGTGTGTGTGTGGTGTGCAGGTGTGTGTCTGTGGTGTGCAGGTGTGTGTGATGTGTGTGTGTGAAGTGCAGGTGTGTGCCTGTGTGATGTGTAGGTGTGTGTCTGTGTGATGTGTAGGTGTGTGTGTGGTGTGTAGGTGTGTGTGTGTGATGTGTAGGTGTGCCGGTGTGTGTGTGGTATATGTGTGTGATGTGTAGGTGTGTGTGTGGTGTGCAGGTGTATGTATGTGATGTGTAGGTGTGTGGTGTGGTGTGTGTGGTGTGCAGGTGTGTGTGTGTGGCGTGTGTGATGTGTAGGTGTGTGTATGATGTGCAGGTGTGTGTCTGTGTGATGTGTAGGTGTATTGTGGGTGTGTGTGCGGTGTGTATGCGTGTGTGTAGGTGTATTGTGGGTGTGTATGCGTGTATGTAGGTGTGTGTTGTGGGTGTGTTGTGTGGGTGTAGTCGTATTTTTGCACAGCAGGACAGGCCATGCATCTGTCAGTCATCTGAGTCAGTCAACACATGGCACCTGGGTTTGTCCTGTGAGCTCCTGTCAGCGAGACTTAAGACACTCCACGTGGCCTCAAGGTGCACCTAGCCTGGCACAAGCCCTGCGGTTATATCAACGCTACTTAGTGTGCGAATGACGACGACTGGTGTGTTTGGGGTATAGGTGTGTGTGTGTAGTGCACGTAGTGGGGAGCGGTGGTGTAGCGGTTAGCGCTACGCTGCGCTATGAACCTGGCGACACGGGTTCGATTCCCGCTCACGGCCAACACCAGTGACGATTATCTGAACCGGTCCCGGGCCTCCCCTAGGTCGACTCAGCCTCAAATACTTGGTGCGGTGGATCAAAACATCGCCACTGGGGAGACAAAGGCGGTCGGGCGTGGTGCTGGCCACTTACCCCCTCGTGTACCGTTCCGGCCTTCATAGGTGCTCGCTAACAGCACTTGCCCCTACAGTCTGTAAAGGCTATACGGGGGGATCTTTGTCTTTGTAGTGCACGTGTCCCGCAGGTGTGAGATGTGGGTGTTGCGTTTTGGTGTGCGGTTACGTGCAGGTGAGTTGGATGGTGCATAGCGTGCGGTGTTCAGGTGTGCGGTTGCATGAGAGTCTGGTCTGTGGTGTGTGTGCAGCTGTGTGTGCAGCTCTGTGTGTGTGCAGCTCTGTGTGTGCAGCTGTGTGTGTGCAGATGTGTGTGTGCTGGTGTGTGTGCAGCTGTGTGTGTGCAGCTCTGTGTGTGTGTGCAGCTGTGTGTGTGCAGCTGTGTGTGTGTATATTGAGTGCAGCTGTGTGTGTATGCAGTGTGGAGGGTGTGGTGGATGTGAGTATATTGGTGTGTGCATGTACAGTGAGGGAAAAAAGTATTTGATCCCCTGCTGATTTTGTACGTTTGCCCACTGATAAAGAAATTATCAGTCTATAATTTTAATGGTCGGTTTATTTGAACAGTGAGAGACATAATAACAACAACAAAATCCAGAAAAAACGCATGTCAAAAATGTAAAAAATTGATTTGCATTTTAATGAGGGAAATAAGTATTTGACCCCCTCTCAATCAGAAATATTTCTGGCTCCGAGGTGTCTTTTATACAGGTAACGAGCTGAGATTAGGAGCACACTCTTAAAGGGAGTGCTCCTAATCTCAGCTTGTTACCTGTATAAAAGACACCTGTCCACAGAAGCAATCAATCAGATTCCAAACTCTCCACCATGGCCAAGACCAAAGAGCTCTACAAGGATATCAGGGACAAGATTGTAGACCTACACAAGGCCGGAATTGACTACAAGACCATTGCCAAGCAGCTTGTTGAGAAGGTGACAACATTTGGTGCGATTATTCGCAAATGGAAGAAACACAAAAGAACTGTCAATCTCCCTCGGCCTGGGGCTCCATGCAAGATCTCACCTCGTGGAGTTGCAATGACCATGAGAACGGTGAGGAATCAGCCCAGAACTACACGGGAGGATCTTGTCAATGATCTCAAGGCAGCTGGGACCATAGTCACCAAGAAAACAATTGGTAACACACTACGCCGTGAAGGATTGAAATCCTGCAGCGCCCGCAAGGTCCCCCTGCTCAAGAAAGCACATATACATGCCCGTATGAAGTTTGCTAATGAACATCTGAATGATTCAGAGGACAACTGGGTGAAAGTGTTGTGGTCAGATGAGACCAAAATGGAGCTTTTTGGCATCAACTCAACTCGCCGTGTTTGGAGGAGGAGGAGGAATGCGGCCTATGACCCCAAGAACACCATCCCCACCGTCAAACATAGAGGTGGAAACATTATGCCTTGGGGGTGTTTTTCTGCTAAGGGGTCAGGACAACTTCACCGCATCAAAGGGACGATGGACGGGGCCATGTACCGTCAAATATTGGGTGAGAACCTCCTTCCCTCAGTCAGGGCATTGAAAATGGGTGGTGGATGGGTATTCCAGCATGACAATGACCCAAAACACACGGCCAAGGTAACAAAGGAGTGGCTCAAGAAGAAGCACATTAAGGACCTGGAGTGGCCTAGCCAGTCTCCAGACCTTAATCCCATAGAAAATCTGTGAAGGGAGATGAAGGTTCGAGTTGCCAAACGTCAGCCTCGAAACCTTAATGACTTGGAGAAGATCTGCAAAGAGGAGTGGGACAAAATTCCTCCTGAGATGTGTGCAAACCTGGTGGCCAACTACAAGAAATGTCTGACCTCTGTGATTGCCAACAAGGGTTTTGCCACCAAGTACTAAGTCATGTTTTGCAGAGGGGTCAAATACTTAATTCCCTCATTAAAATGCAAATAAATTTATAACATTTTTGACATGCGTTTTTCTGGATTTTTGATGTTGTTATTCTGTCTCTCACTGTTCAAATAAACCTACCATTAAAATTATAGACTGATAATTTCTTTGTCAGTGGGCAAACTTACAAAATCAGCAGGGGATCAAATACTTTTTTCCATCACTGTATATATAATTGTGTATATATAAGTGTATAGATAGGTGTGTGTGTATATATATACAGTATATAGTACTGGTGTATACAGAGGCTTGTTTGTGTATAGTTGTGTATATATACTCGTGTGTACACACGTGTGTGTGTATAGGTGTACACGTGCGTACTGTATACCTATGCCCAAAGGATTGGTGGGAAGGGGTTAACCACACACACACACCACACAACACATACACAACACACACACACAACACATACACAACACACACACACAACATATACAACACACACACACCCAACACAACACACCACATAAACAACACACACACAACACATACACACAACACATACACACACACAACACACACACACACAACACACACAACATATACAACACATACAACACACAGACCACACACACCACATACACACAACACACACACAACACACCACATACACACAACACACACAACATACACAACACACAAACACCACACACAACACACACACCATATACACACAACACACACAACACACACACCACACACACACAACACAAGTGAGACACAAAGGTTGGCCAATGGTCTAACACAGTACAGGAAGTACAGCCACACACAACACACCACGTGTGTGTACAGTATTGTATATCACGCGCACACACGGAATGTCAGTGACACACAACACACATACAGTATGTCTGCAGGTATCTACGTACACAATTGACACAATCACAACATTATACATATTGCACGGACACACACACACAGTGTTACTATCCACGCAGGTACAAACATAGGTAAAAGGTGGACACACACAGACACACAGAGACACACAAAGACACACATACACAATGGCTTATACTATGTATGCTTGCAGGCACGTGCATAGGTAACAGATGGACACAAATACACACAAAGACATTAGACACACACAGACACCAGCGCACACAAAATCATGGAAGTCCGTACATAGGTAACAGATGGACACAAATGCACAAAGACATTAGACACAAACACACACACACAGAGGCTCACACAACCGCACAATGTATTCATGCAGGTACGAAGATAGGTGAAAGATGGTCACACACACAGACACACACGCAGACACACACGCAGATACACACACACAGACAAAAAAAACAGACCCAAAGCCACAAAGCTGGTACACAAGAAACGCCTACACAGCGGACACATGGAGGAGGGCTGAAAGGAGAGACGGACAGACAGACCGTGTGGGTGGTGAATACGGAACGTACCGATGTTGTCGAGGTAGTGGTGGAGGTTGTGTTGGTGTTGTTGGTGGTGGTGGTTGGTGGTGGTGGTTGTGCTGCTTGGTTCGTGGCGGTTGTGGTTCTCACCCCCCACCACCACCACCAACCACACCAATTCACATTCACGTGAAACGCGGCACCGTTACGTGAGCAGGGAAACAGCGGCCCCGCCCATCCCTCCCACCCACACACAGAGAGAGCCACACACACACAGCCCTACACACACACACAGCCCTACACACACACAGCCACACACACAGACACACACACAGCCCTACACCTACACACACACAGCCACACACACACAGAGAGCCACACACACACAGCCCCACACACACATACAGCCCTACACACACAGAGAGAGAAAGACACACACAGCCCTACACACACAGCCACACACAGAGAGAGCCACACACACACAGCCCAACACACACACAGCCCTACACCTACACACAGCCACACACACACACACAGAGTGCCACACACACACACAGCCCTACACACACACACAGAGAACCACACACACACAGCCCTACACCTACACACACACACAGCCCTACACACACAGCCCTACACACACAGCTCTACACACACACAGCCATACACACACACACAGCCATACACCTACACACACACACAGCCCTACACCTACACACACACACAGCCCTACACACACACAGCCCTACACACACACACAGCCATACACACACAGCCATACACCTACACACAGCCCTACACCTACACACACGCAGCTTTACACACACACACAGCCCTACACACAGAGAGAGAACCACACACACAGAGAGAACCACACACACACACACAGCCCTACACCTACACACACACAACCCTACACACAGCCATACACACACACAGCATATACCTACACATACACACAGCCCTACACAGAGAGAGAGCCACACACAAAGCCCTATACCCACACACACAGCCCTACACACAGCCCTACACACACAGCCCTACACACAGTCATACACACACAGCCCTACACACACAGCCCTACACACACACACAGCCCTACACACACACAGCCCTACACACACACAGAGCCACACACACAGCCCTACACACACACACAGCCCTACACCTATACTCACACACACACACAGCCATACACACACACAGCCCTACACACCCACATAGAGAGAGCCATACATACACAGCCCTACACACACACAGAGAGCCGTACACACACACAGCCCTACACCTATACTCACACACACAGCCATACACACACAGCCATACACACCCACCCCTACACACCCACCCCTACACACACAACCATACACACACAACCATACACACACAACCATACACACACAACCATACACAACACTAGGTGCCGGTGACGTCACCACAACGCTCGTGCCAGGCTAGGTGCACTTTGAGGCCACGTGCAGTGTTGAAGGCTCGCTGTCAGGAGGTCACGGGACAGACCCTGCAGGTGTTATGAGTCGACTGACTGAGATGACTGACAGATGCACCACCTGTGCCCCCTACTGTGCCAACCACCACTAATAACAAAGACAAAGACCCCCCCCCCCGAATAGCCTAAATAGTGTTGAGGCAAGTGCTGTTAGCGAGCAGCACCACGCCCGGCCGCCTTTGTCTCCCTAGTGGCGATGGTTTTAGATCGCACTCATTTGAGGCCGAGTAGAGTAGACCTAGGGGAGGCCCAGGACCAATACAGAGATAATCGTCACTGGTGTTGGCCGTGAGCGGGAATCGAACCCGGGTCACCAGGTTCATAGCGCAGCGCTGACCACCACACGACCGCTCCCCACACACACACACAGTCACACACACAAAGACAAAGATCCCCCATATAGCCTTAACAGACTGTAGGGGCAAGTGCTGTTAGTGAGCAGCACCTATGAAGGCCGGAACGGCACACGAGGGGGTGGGTGGCCAGCACCACGCCCGACCGCCTTTGTCTCCCCAGTGGCAATGTTTACACACCGCACCAGGTACTCATTTGAGGCTGAGTCGACCTAGGGGAGGCCCGGGACCGGTTCAGAAAATCGTCACTGGTGTTGGCCGTGAGCGGGACTCGAACCCGTGTCACCAGGTTCATAGCGCAGCGTAGCGCTAACCGCTACACTACCGCGACAGACCAGGTAGCTTCCACACAGCGTTACGCAACCGATGAAAAGATATTGCCGCTCGACTGATTGGGAGTGAGACCTCTGCTGTTAAACTGGAGCCGGTCATAAGCACACTGCCCAGGTATGGGAAACTCTCCACTCTCTCCACAACTGTCCCATCACACATACACACACTCACTCATACACACACTCACTCACACACACACAGTCACACACACTCACACAGACTCACTCACACAGTCACACACTCACTCACACACAGTCATACACACTCACACACACAGTCATACACACTCACACACAGTCATACACACTCACACACACTCACACAGTCACACACTCACACACACATACTCACACACATACTCACACACACTCACTCACACAGTCACACGCACACTCACACAGTCACACACACAGTCACAACAACAACAACCGCCATTCGCCACTAAGTGGCGGTGACGTCACCACGACGCTTGTGCCAGGCCATGTGCACCTTGAGGCCACGTGAAGTGTCGAACGCCCGCTGGCAGGAGGTCACTGGGCAGACCCAGGTGCCACGGGTCGACTGACTGAGATCACTGGCTGATGCACCACCTGTGCCCCCTACTGTGCCAACCCGCTGCGCTTTAGGCACCCGGCGCTCCGCTCGTTGTTGTGAGCGTCGCTCCTCCGCCCTCCGTTGTTGTTGGAGGGCGACTACCTCCAACTGCCCAGTAGCATCCTTCACGAGCCTCCTCCACAGAGGCCGATCTTGACACCGCTGGTACCAGTCATCGGCAAGTCCACTCAGCTCCACGTCCTCCTGTACCACATCACTTCATCTCTTCTCTAGCCCGTGCCGCGCCCGTTTAGCCCCCTCGATCCGGCCGAACGGAAGCTGTCTAGGCATGCGGTGACTGGACATGCGGGCTACATGACCCAGCCATCGCAGCCTTGCCTGCCGGAGGAGCTCACCGATGGGACCTTGCCCAGATCTTTCAAGGATTTGTGAGCTCCTCACACAATCCAGTCTGTTTAAACCCAGGATGGATCGTAGGCAGGCCAGCCTAAATGTTTCTAACCGGCGAAGATGTTCCATTAGGGGGGTCCACGTTTCGCAAGCGTCGAGAAGGGAGGGAATGACCGTGGCCGAGAAGACCTGGAGCTTAGTGCGGAGCGACAGACCAGGTAGCTTCCACACAGCGTTACGCAACCGATGAAAATATATTGCCGCTCGACTGATTCGGAGTGAGACCTCTGCTGTTAAACTGGAGCCGGTCATAAGCACACTGCCCAGGTATGGGAAACTCTCCACTCTCTCCACAACTGCCCCATCACACATACTCACACACACTCACTCATACACACACTCACTCACACACACAGTCACACACACACTCACACAGTCACACACACTCACATACACTCACTCTCACAGTCACACACTCACACACATACTCACACACACTCACTCATACACACACTCACTCACACACACACAGTCACACATACTCACACACACTCACTCACAGTCACACACACTCACTCACACTCACACACACTCACTCTCACACAGTCTCACTCACTCACACATACTCACTCACACACACACTAACTCACACAGTCACACTCACTCACACACACACTCACTCATACACACACACTCACACACACTCACTCACACAGTCACACTCACTCACACTCATACACACACACTCACTCACACACAGTCACACACACTCACTCACACAGTCACACACACTCACTCACATTCACTCACACTCACTCTCACACACTCACTCACACACACTTACTCACACACTCACACTCACTCACTCTCACACTCACTCACACTCACTCAGTTTTATTTCAGTTTTCAGTTTATTTATTTTGGTATAGCCCTGTGAGCCATTCGGCTCTTGAATCGGGTGCAACCACAACAAACAAAAAAACAAAAACATGAACAAGAAAACATCTTAAAGTGACTATGTGTGACTGTGTAAACAGAAAATCCATGAACAAAAACAGCAAAATATTCCTGAAAAAAGCGCCGTACACCAACGCTGTGTGCAAAAAATCCCAGTGGGATGCAAGTCAAACAACAACAACAACCACAAGAAAACTTAGATTAAGGCCATCAGTCTAACTCCGTACTACAACAAAACAAACATGTCCAAACCAAAAAAACGTTTTCCAAATCACCAAAAACTAAAGCCATAATTGCAACGTAACAGTGATCACAGGGACTGTGACCGAATTTTTACAATAAACTACATAAATAACATGTAACACCAAATCCTAGAGCCATAGCTGGCTGCATGAGTTACTCCACAACAACTCACTCACACACTCACTTACACACACTCACACACACCTATAAATACATACACACGCGCACGTGTATACACACACTCATAAGACAAATATCCCCCATGTAGCCTCAAATTAACTTTAGGGGAAAGTGTTGTTGGCCAGCACATGTGAAGGCCGGGCACGGGACACGATGGGGTGGGTGGCTAACACCACGCCCGGCCGCCTTTGTCTCCTCAGTGCTGATGACAAAGACAAAGATCCCCCGGATAGCCTTGACACAGACCGCTGGGGCAAGTGCTGCCAGCAGTCTACTTAGCACAACGAGTCGACATCTGAGCTTCCGTGCTCACTCACCTGGCTGAGGAGGCATCGACGAAGACTTCTTCGTCTTCAAAGTCTGAACAATTCCCCTAGTAAACGTGCCGTGCCTCACGTGGTGGCCACGTGGTATGAGAACCGTTAGACCAACGTTGGGCCAACGTTAGCGTGTGGTTAAAACCGTTGGGCCAACGTTGGGCCAACGTTAGCCTGTGGTTAAAACCGCTGGACCAACGTTAGCCTGTGGCTAAAACCGTTGGGCCAACGTTGGGCCAACGTTAGCCTGTGGTTAAAACCGTTGGGCCAACGTTGGACCAACGTTAGCGTGTGGTTAAAACGGTTGGGCCAACGTTGGGCCAACGTTGGGCCAACGTTAGCGTGTGGTTAAAATCGTTGGGCCAACGTTGGACCAACGTTAGCGTGTGGTTA